GAAGACATCTTTGCGCAGAATAAGGAGGAAGATTGGAAGAGGATACTAACTAGGGGGAACTAAAAACACTCAATCTAAGGCCGAAGTAGCTAAGTATACTGAAGAAACGAAGAACTGAGGAAGAACTGACCTTAGAAATAGGGTTTGATCGAAGCAAGGACTTTCTCTCTCTAGAAATTTTGGCAGAGCTTCGCTATCGCATAAAAACGCACAAGGAAACTGAGCTCCGCCTTGGGGTACTTATAGGCCTTCAGCCTCGAGAATTGGGCCTCGACTTGAAAAGCCCATCATTACGTGCCGCCGCCTCAGCCAATGAATGACAGCCGCCCACCCCCAACCAACGAGGACACGCCACGTCAGCCCCTCTTCCAACGGCCATATTGCAACGGCTATATTTCAGAAACACTGGGATGCCCCCGAATGATAGCCTCCGGCTATCACTCACCGCAGCCTTCAGGCAACGAATTCCACCAAACGCCTTCGAGCCCATAGCAACATAAGCCTTCGGCTTATCAATGTAACCACCCCTCGGGGGGCTCATCAACTCATCATAACTCCTTCAGCCCGAACTTGCCTTCGGCCTCAAGGAGTGGGGGACTGGGATACACCCCTCGGGGATCATACACAACAAAAATTCCTTCATCCAGGCAATTTTCGATTGACGTGTACAGCCTCCAGACAAACATCAAAGTGGAACCCCTTCGGCAAATCAAAATGTCAGAAATTTTCCAGTCACTGACAATGATGAAACAGCCTCCATCACAATACATACGGATATTATTTACACCTCCCTCAGAAAACCCCCGACATGTGAGGGACTGAGGAGAGGCTCCGGCATTCATACAAGTGTTATACTTCCTTCAGAAAACCCTCGGCATGTGAGGGACTGAGGGAAGCCTTCGGCAATCAACCGAAGACAAGTTCTCCAGCAAAAGCACCCAGCGGAATGATGAAGCCTCCAGAAGAAGCGACACATCTACTCCTTTTCCCTCAAGTACCATTCGGCAAAAGGAGTGAGGGACTCCTGATGGAGTATATGGCCCAGGAACCCCCGGCCCATAGACTCCTACTTCTCCTACACAAGTCCATTGAGCCCAGAAAACAACTCGGGCCCAAATACAACGGCCCAAGCCTCAAAGTAACCCAGAATACACACTGGGGTGCCTTCGGCCTCCTTGGCCGAAGGCTCCAAAACTCACAGGATAGCCTTCTCTGGCATAGGAAGCTGCCGGGAGAAGACGGGCGAAAACATGAGCCTTCGGCATTTTCATGCCCTCGGAATCGGAGAAGCCTTCGGCTGAACCAAGCCTTCGGCTACACAAGGAGCCCTCGGCTACAAGGAGCCCTCGGCTACAAGGAGCCCTCGGCTACAAGGAGCCCTCGGTTACACATGGAGCCCTCGGCTACACCGGGAGCCTTCGGCTGCACTAGCTCAATCATCGAAGATTCCTTTTAGAGACAGCCAACCACCGCATTTAATGCCACGTCGCATCCGCCAACCGCATTCAATGCGGTTGACGTACCACTGCCGGTGCCACCAGGCTGATGTGACCCTTCGGCCGTTGGATTACTGACACGTGTCCTCTCATCGCATTTATTGCTGCTATAAATAGCAGCCCATTTCTCCTTGTAATCGACACAATCTACATCTCAACTCCACGCTGAGTTCATTTAATAAAATCGACTCTCTCTCCTCCTATTTACTCTGACTTCTCTCTAGTTATTCCCGCAATAACCCCTCGGATAAGATACCCCCCGGGTAGACTATCCATCAACAACTATAATATGCACCATATGTACATGAAATAGAAATTTAATATTATTATAAAAATAATAATCTCATACATACTATTGTAATATTAAGAAAATGTAACTCATCATGACTCACAAACACCCTCTTGGATAGATAAAAATTGCAATTCAAAAACCAATTCTTTAATCCAATAAGATTCATGTGGTTAAACAATGTAGAAGTTATTTAAAAATTATTGATGGATGTGTGCCTTTAATTTTAAACTCTTTATCTTTAAATAATTGGATAAAATGTTATATATCCTTTTTTATTTTCAAATTATTTTCCTTTGATTTGTCGTTTCTTATGTTTTAATGTATAAATACTTGCTTCTAGAGCACTTCAATTATAAAATTGAAGTTATTTTGTCATTGCCTAAACTTAAAATGTAGTAGATTGAAACGTATCATGCATGTATGATGTATCAATGATTTTTTTTTTTTTAATAAAAATAGTCGTAGAGCTCTACACTATGGAAAAATTTCGCCTTGCTACATTACAAAAAAAATTCTCCCCGCTACACTAGCGGAAAAAATTTCACCCTCTACATTAATGAAAATTTTCGTCCCATTTGACTCAAAATCCTATATATGTCCCTGAATGCTCATATTGTTTATTATTATTTGATTTAATTTTATTTGATGTAAATCTACAATATTACTTAAAGAGATATGTACTGTTTGAAGTAAGACTCTTGCATTATTGAATTCAAAAGCATTTGTCGATATCCCTGGCGTTTTTCATCTTTTCTGGCCGGAGTAATTTGGCCATATTCTAGCCGCAATGAATTACCGATTCAACAAATAGGTATGGCCGGTTGAAGGGTTGACGATTGCTTTTACTTAAAAAGGTAGATTTTTTAAAGTGATCGTGGAAAAAATGTTTAAAAGTAAAAGGTGGTAGTGTTTGAGAAAATATGACAACGAAAAAGTAAAAATTTGTAGTGTTTGATAGAATTGAATAAGTGCTTTTTGTGTAATAGAAAAAAGTGAAAAACACTTCGCAACATGTTTCTAGCTTTAAGCTGATTAATTTAAGCAGTCATTTGAAAATAATCATTTTCGGTTTTTTAAGCCAAAAGTTGAAAAACACTTATTTTAATTTTTTAGCAAACACTCCCTAATTGCAGTTAGTATATTCATCTAGGTACTACTAGTCGTGACAGAGGCAAACAGGTCAGGATGGTTAACTGATCCCCTAAAAGTTTTAGTGTATAAAGCTGTGAGATACATTCAATTTGATACGTTATAATTCTCGTAACTTATTACGAACCAAAAGTTAGTTATTGTTTCTGAAAATCAACATTTTCTAAACATAAACTAAGTAAACTTCGATGAGTGGTATTGATTATATTCTAAAATTTACGATAAAAAAAGATTATGTTCTAAAATTTTACAAATAGTGTACAATTCACTTATTAAGCCGAGCAAAAGACGAACTATAAAGTTTCAAGGTCAGACCAAGGGTCTCACTCGAGGTAGCCACCGGTACATAAATAAGCTTTTAATCCCTCCATCCCCTTATTTTTATTCCATTTTATCTTTTTCATCCATCCCACTAACTTTATCACATATCATATTTGGTAAAATTTGAGTGTCTAGCATTCATTTTTACTTAATTTATACTCCCTCCGTTTCTATTTCTTTGACACACTTTCCTTTTTGGAAGTGTCAAAATGGATGTCACACTTCTCATTTCGTAAACAAAACAGTGTCAAACAATGGTAAACAGTGTCAAACAGTGTTCAAACAGTGTCTAAACAATGTCTAAACCATCTCAAACGGTGTCCAAACAGTGTGCAAACAGTAAAATTACCCCTTAGTAAAAAAAATCTTAAATGTTGACTTGTCAACAAACTATGTCAAAGAAATAGAAACGGAGGGAGCATGTTTACTTCATTTTTACTTCGTTTTGAATAGTTTTTTCCCGAAGTCGGATTTCTTATCTATTTTTCTCACACTAAATACATTATCATTAATAAATAAAGAAAATAACCATAATAGTAACAAATATTACTCCACAGTAGTATGGTTGAAATTAATAATCGTAAACTAACGAGTGAATTACCTAAATAGGATAAAAAAAGTGGTCAAAGAGCACAAATATGTCATCTTTTTAATTTCCTCAAGTAGGACTTTTATGTGTGTTTGGACAAATATACCCTTATAGCTTTTGAAATGTCTTAATTAATAATAGCATCATAAAAAACGTAAAAAAAAACGTAAAAAAACAACAAATTAATAAAAAAGGCAAAAAAAAATATCTGCCGCCTTTGCCACCACCGGTTTGAAATCTGTCAACATTTTTAGTAATGTCATAATAATGGCATATTCAATGGGAATTTTGATATTATGGAGCGTAATAATGCCATTTTCTTGGCATTTTCACAAAAATGGCATTTCTTATAAAAAGTGGTTGAACTTTCACCGATCGGAGGTGAACTGTTAAATCTGGTACAATTCCTGTCAAGTTAGAACTTAGAGTTCTATTTATGTATACGTTTTAAGTGTACACGCTCTGGTTATTTGTTTATACAACCAATTCTAGCCTTCTAGGGATGGATCAGGCCCGGTCTGACTGGCCCGGTACCCAACCCAGACCGCCACTGTGCGGTACCAACCCGAACCGGCCAGCTCGGACCGACACTGGGGCCCGACCCAGGGGTAGGGGGATGGCGGGCTTTAGGATAGGGTAATGGGCGACCGGCCCAGCCAGTCCTGATCGGGTTTTGTTTTTTATTTTATTTTTTGGCTATGCTCTTCGACCAAGTGGGTGAGGCTGGGTGGTTTGGGGGGTGGGGGAGGGGAGGGGTAGGAATTAGTTTGAAAAGCATTTATAAAAAAGAATAAGAACCGACCCAGGCCCAGCCCGGTTCGGCGGTCCCGGAACCTACCCAGGCAGGTACCGAGCCTCCACTACCCAAACCCAGTCCCACCCAAGGCCTGACCCGGGCCTGGTCCATCACTAACCAATTCTGCCTTTTTAGACAAACACGCAAATTTGGTGACATTTACAAAATGCTATACAAAATGCATATATACTAACAAAACATTTTATCAAATTTCATGATCCTCAAGAAGATCATCATTGTGGTGGGAATTGGCTGGTTCAAGCCTATTTTGGAAGGTGTAACCTCTCATTAATCATTATAATGGAATTATGGAATGCAAGTAACCCGCCATCGCCCATCGGTGCTAGTTCCGAACTTCAGGTCTCAATTCTTGATCCGGTTTAAAATTCAAAAGGAATAACAAATATATTGAACAGAGGGTCTAAACTTTGCAAAATACAATCTTAAATCCATAAACTCTTAAATTAGACAATATTCGAAGGGTACACAAAAACTGGCATTGAAAAATAAATGTAAACACTAAAATACATATACAATTATACATGGCAGAGTTCAGAATCCAAATCTAAATGGAAGCAGGATATCTATTCCGGGCCGGATGCAAGTGCATAATCGAGGTCACCAATCAGATCATCAACATCTTCTATTCCCACGGAAACACGAACAAGATCCTCAGTTAGCCCCCTTGCCTCTCGCACCGCAGCAGCAATGCTTGCATGGGACATAAAGCACGGCAAGCTTATCAAGGATTTCACACTTCCTGCCAAAATTAACCGACACTTCGATAAGTAAAGTGTTAAAACCAACAGAAGCACTTCACATAATTTAGAGGTTAAAAAAGATCTGGGAAACTTACCAAAACTAACAGTAACACTGAAGTACTTTGTGGTCTCAACTACATGCTTAGAGAGTGCTAATGACCCTGTCAAAAAACTTAGCACTGACCCTGCTCCTTTTGCCTGCCACAACAAGTGAGGAGGCTTCAGACCATTCAGTAATGCTAATTTTTACTTGAACACTTTACAATTACCGCATGATGGGTGTGTCCGGCGAAGGGAAGTTTAAAGGATTTATAAGGGGGAAACCTTATGATGTTAAAAAATAACCAATACCTGGGAGTAGTGCAATGTGCGCCCTGGATGGCTTGGAAGACCAGCATAGTTAACCTTCTTTACTCGTGGATGGGAACTCAGATATTCAGCAATTTTTTGTGCATTTTCCTGCCAAGATATTGGAAGCATAAGTTTTAAAGTTTTAGCTCATGTTCAGAATGAAATGAAAATATGGAAGCATAGGAAATAATTAAGAGTGGAACAATGTAATCATCACTGTTCTACTCATTCGAATTTGAATGGGAAATAAAGGGAGAAGAAAACTAAGTTTTAAATCTGTTTAATGCGGTCTCTCCAATTTGGAGAAAAAATAAGTTCAGCTTGGTGATACAAAACTACTACTAACTCTGTCCCAGCTTAAGCTTCACATTGAAAAATGAAACAATTATTTACAAAATAATTAAACAAGGTAATTCGAGTATATTTTGAGGAGTAGTTTTGATGAGTATATTAACAGCAGTAGTCAGGAGTTGATGAAAGTGTAGATCAATTTAAATGAGTATGAGGTGCAAAAACCAAGCATTCCAGCCCAGCTGGTTGTGAGGTTACCGTGCCTAGTGGGAGGTCTCGTGTTCGAATCCCGCTAGGCACACAAGGGTTTGAAACTCAATAGAGTGAGTTTCAACCCTGATTACTCCAGGCTCCCCCCAGACCCCTCCCCCAGACCCCCCTGGAGTATTAAAAAAAACATAATGGAGTTATTGATGACAATTATGATGTTATGTGTATATTTCTTTTAATATTTGATTATTAATTTGTCATTTCGGGGTGCTAATTGTTTTCTAAAATAGAAATGAGAAATTTTAGTTGTGACGTCCAAAAGTGGCAAGTGAGAAGCTTAAACTGGGATGGAGTATCACATTGGGCACTTAACTTTTTAACCTCTATGATTATCAATTTATTGGATAGTTTCACAATTTTAATTTGGGAAATAATTTGATGGTCAAAGAAGTGTATGTCACTTCTTTTTTTCCTATCTCTAGGTTATTTCAAATAAATAAATGTACGCCTTATTCCAAGAAGATTATCCAAATAGTATGTTTGGAAACCAAAAAATAGTAGGGAACGAGGATACAACAACATCCAAGCCTTAGTCCCAAAAGAATTTGGGGTTGGCTAATGCAAACCAACATATGAGATCGGAGCCAAAAAAAGATAAAAAAGATAAAAGGATAGAGTATCAGAAAGATACAAAAGAAAAAAAGGTAGAAAATATATAAAGAATTAAATTAGATTAATCATGCACACCAACATTCTCCCTCCACTTTGCTCTCTCCAAAGTAAGGAACTAGAATATCAAGGAAAATAGAGACTATTATATATAGAGAGTATAATTTTTTTTGGAGAATATAGAGAGGATATACTTAAACAAAATAACACTCATTTCAATCATATCTATTATATAGATATAGAGTCTATGCACCAAACTTTATTTATTTAAAAAAAAAATCCTTCACATTTAACAATCAACTTGCAACGTACCTGTTGCTTCTCAACACGTAGAGCCATAGTTTTGATCCCTCTTAAGCAGAGCCAACAGTCAAATGGGGCCAAACCTGCACCTTCTGCATTTTGCAGGAAATACAATTCCTTTGCCAAGCTGGTTACAGAGAAAAAAAACTTGTGTCACCACTAGTTCAAACAATCTAAGAAAGAACAACAATGGACTCACAAGTAGCAATGTAGCAAACAGATAATACTTCATATAATTCAGTTTAGTGGAGTAAATACCGCAATCGTCAACCCCACGTGTTCATAATGGAATATATCAAATTTTAGTGGAAAAAGCTTCAAAATACTGAAATTGCAAGTCAATGCCTTATTACTGCGCTATTATATGTTCATAAAGAAACTTCTGCATAAAGAAAGCAATAATTCTTTTTTTACCCTAATAATTCCTTTTTACTCAAGTAAAAAGGAATTATCAATTCATGTAAGCAGACCCCAAATTCTTTGAGGACTAAGGGTTGGATGTTGTAATATAACAGCCACTTGTCTAATACAACCAGCATCAAAGTACACCTTGTTCTCAACATATGCATTAGGCTATTAGTTAAATCCCTAAAAGAAAAAAGACATCTAGAAGGAATAACAAATGAATACATAATAGAAGAAGCCAACAAATAAAATGTACTAGCTCCGTCCCTCTAAGTTTGGGACAAAAGGGTGTGGTGTGGTTTTTAAGAAAAAGTGGAATTGTGTGGTTGATATTGAATTGATAAAGTGTGAATAAAGTAAGAATGAATTCTAATCACTCAAATATTAGCAAATATGGTATGGGACAAACTTAATGGGACGGACAAAAAAGGTAAAACGGGACAAAGTTACAGGGACGGGGGGAGTATATACTAAAAGAATGTAAAGACCTTTCTCCTTTAACAGCAAGGACCCCTGCCATAAGATCGCTATGACCAGATATGAATTTAGTAGCTGAAGTCATCACAATATCTGGAAATAGATTTCAGTATTTTTTTTAAAACACCAGTTTGAAATTGACTATAAACAATTTGATCAAGAGAAAGAAAGTTGAACAAAGTTTCCAATACCTGCTCCAAGTTCCAAGGGGCAACAGAGTACGCAGGACATAATGCTGTTATCTACCAGCACAAGGGCCCGATGTGCATGAGCCATCTCAGCAATTTTCTGAATTTAATATTTGCAGGGAAACTAAAACAATTAGTGTGAAAAGGGATGATTTTTATAATTCTCTTAGAAGGTTATTTTTGCATGGGAAATTCAAAAGCACTATAACCCACACGGATATCACAAATTTGTTGACGAGGATTTGTAGGACTCTCTAGCCAAACAAGCTTTGTCTTTGGTCCAATTGCTGATGCAACCTCATCTAGAGTAGTTGTGTCAACTCGCCTGTTTAACCATTGTTGTAAAAACACTGAACACCTTGTTAAGGTAAAATTAGTTTAACAAAAAACTGATACTAACTTCACGACAACTCCACTTCTTGGGACCACTTGGGACAATAGGCGGTCTGAACCACCATATATGTCATCCCCAGCAACAATCTCATCACCTATCAAGGAATTAAAATCATATAGTTCAACAATGAATATTCATGTCTGCTTGCTTCAACAAGGGAGTATGAGTTTTCCTGATCTACAAGACTACAACTATATATAGTTTTTAGTTAATTGTATGACACCGTACAAGTATATTACGTAGATTCAGTGTTGCCTAAGCGAGAAACCTATGGGGAAAGAAAATAGATAATATAAAAGAAAGGAAAATTGTAAGAAAATACAAGATTGGATCAAACTTGAGATATTTATTTTAGATAATTTATTTTTGGGAAAATGGAAACTAATAATCCAACCTTTTAGCGGTCTTCTTTTAATAATCCCACCTTTTGATTATTCATGAATAATCCAACCTTTGCACCACATCTTCATTCACTGGTCCTTGACCGGTTGATGACCTGCTATTCCAAGCTATTTTCTTATCTTTGCAAATCATTATACCATAAATTTCATCTTTCACAAAGATAATATTTTGAAAAGATAAGAAAATAGCTTGGAATAGCAGGTCATTAACCGATCGGGGACCAGTGAATGAAGATGAGGTGCAAAGGTTGGATTATTCATGAATAACCAAAAGGTTGGATTATTGTAAGAAAACCGCTAAAAGGTTGGATTATTAGTTTCCATTTTCCCTTTATTTTTTTTACATCATTTTAATAATCTAATTATTGCTATTATACAAAGACAAAAAAATCTAAATTTGTGGAAATAAGTCTTAAAAATTACTGCCTCCGACCCACTATGTTTACGATGCTTGACCGACGATAAAGCAAACGGATCCCTGTCCACACTCAAATTATTTTTAGAAAAAAAAATTACATATTCAGAAACTACATTAAAAACTTTACAAAGTCGCAAAAACCAGAATCAAATTGATAAAAATTTGATATACTTCCTCCGTTCTTAAATAAGTGCAACAGTCAACATTTCACACTTGCCGAGGCACTACTTTGACCATTAATATATATAATTCTCCATTAGTAAAAAATTTCAAAAAATCAGTTTTTGAAAATTTACAATGAGACAAATTTAATAATATATTTTTCAAAAATATATATTAATACATCAATAAATAAAATGTAGTCAAAGTAGAACATGTGAATAGTGTAAAATTTCACATGTTGCACTTATTTAAGAACGGAGGTAGTATAAAGTAAGAGATTAAGAGTGATTTGTGTTGACCAAATGAATTGTGTCCGGGACAATCTTAGCGGGGCGGAGGGAGTAATAACTTTTCATTTTCCTTTGTGTTCCAAACATAAGAAAAATAGAAAAATACCAGCTCCAACAAGGCGAGTTACCGCTGTCAAAGCCGCCATCCCACTGGTGAAGCAAAATGCTCTATCTGCTTTCTCAATCTTTGCAAGAAGCCTGAAAAGTTGGGTAACTTATGATGAGTGTTATAATATAATGAACATAATATATGAGACTGTATACGCTGTAATTTCCACACAAGAAGCGACACACTTTTCTAATATATCACGTGTTGGATTTCCACTCCTTGTATAATCATAAAGACCGTTTTCTGTTGCTGAAGGCTGCACAAGATGTCATATGCCATTAAGTACCAACCTCAAATTGTAAAATGAATGTATAATGACATTATAAGGTTGTAGAGGTAGTGATGCACATTATTCATAGTGTACGATGGGTTCTAAATTCTAATATTCTTTCACTGACTTCCAGTTGAGAAAGAAAACACTACGCCAGTATAATCAATTGCCTGGAAAAAAATGGGGCGTTTCAATCTAGTATTATTTTGAAGCTTACTTGCTTAAAAGTAGCTGTTTGATACAAAGGAGTACTCATTGCATCATAAGGGTCCGAATCATCACCAAAATTCATCAGAATTGTTGAAAAGCTCGGATCTTTTGGCTCCACTTGCTCCACCATTGCCTTGCCCTCCATATCTGCATACACCAGTAAAATACTCTAGTAGCAATTAAATTAAAAGCTTACAAGGAGTGAGAATAAATCCTATACACCAAAAGGAATATAAGTTTTTAAGGCCCACCCATGGATTCAGCAACAGAACTAATGAAAGCTGGTGGAATGGCATCCATTCCTACTTCTCTCGCGCAATTTAGTTGAGATTTCTTGGCAAATATTACACGAGATTCCCTCCCGCTCAGTTTAGGTGTGTAAGCAAGAGCCACGGGAAATTCTCCAGTTATAGAACCCTACAACAATTGAAATGTTATGTATCTAACTCAACACACAGAATTAGAGACTATTTCATCACACAAACCAAAATAATAAAGGCAACAATCAATAATGTTATAAATGAATTATAGTAGAGTGTGGGCAGGGAAGCAAGGCTGCTCCGTGCTTACATAGCTTGGGTAGGTAGGCAAAGCGTGGAAGGGAGATTTGAGTTGTAGTGAAGACCAAGATGACATTTCTGAATAAATCTGCAGAGTGATGAAGCAGAAATTGCATGAAGGAGGTCCAACAAACATGAATACAAGAATGAAATTGAACAAACATGAATACAAGAATGAAATTGAAATACATAAAGATGTAAAAGTATATGTAAATAGACCAAGTAATCTCAATTCATAACTCAAAATAAAATATAAGTATATAACCATAATTTAAAATTTCAAAACTTTAAATAAAATGCAAAGACAAATGACCTGTAATAATATAATACATAAACGGCAGATCATAGATAAAGGTCACGGTTCAATGCTTCCAGAGACCAGAAACCACCTGAATTCCTTCCCACAACACGCTATCACTTTCGGTACTAAGTACTAACCCTTAAGCCAACAATTAACAACTCAACCAACACACATTCTCCCGACAAAATAGAACAATAAAGAAATTGATAAGTCCAACTATACTGAACGAAGGAAGCTAATTGGTAGAAAACAAGTCAAAACTACTACAACAAAGCTAAATGCGCAAACAACAAAGGATTTGAAAAGGAAATATACAGTACAGATTTTAAGCAGCGAACCCTGTGAAGTAGTGAGCAGGCAGCGGTAATCAGTGAACAGAGCAGAGGCAACCTTGAAGCAACTCAAGCAAGAAGGCCAGTGATGACCACTGTCGAAGAACGAGGGCACACTTGGCCAGTGTGATGTCTTGTGCGCCCTGCGGAGAGGAGGGGACCAGAAATTTGAAACAGAACGGGAAAGGGGGTGTACACACCCAAATTGCCGGTGGCAGAACCTGAACAAAAATTAAGGGGCTAAAAGCTAAGAAGTTGGATAGTGCATTAGGTACCCTATGGACGTGGAAACGTTCCAGTATATTCCCGAACCGTGTCTCTAATTTTTTAAAATTTCCATTTTTGGTAATTACTTTAAAATTTTGGATACTCATATCCTGATGAATACACGTATCAACTTTAAAAAAAAAATCTTCTTAATAAAAACTTTAAAAAAAACACCCAAAATTTACGTTATAAAATTCTTAGAAAATGAAAAGCTAAAATGATTTTTACCTTACTTTTATGGGCCTATTCCTAATTCACACATCCTCCTATCCTTATTTCTAATTATCCCTGAAATTAATAGCTCCAACCAGGGGCGTAGCCAGAACCGATGTTTACCCTGGACCGACTATACACTAAAAACGTTATATAAAATTTTTAAAAGCGTCAATCATGTGTATATAATGATTAAAATTCATAGTAATATTTTTTAACAATACATACAATATTTGAAACTAAAACGTTAACGGAACACGACCCTCTTTGACCTTAGCAAACTCATTTATGATAGACTCAACGTCGATTTTGTTGGCAAATTCCTTTGCAATAAAGATGGTCAAACGATCAGCAAGAAATTCATCTTTCATCTTGTTACGAATTTCATTCTTCACGTGTTTCATTGTAGAAAATGATATTTTTGTTGTTGAAGTCGAAACAGGTAAAGTCAAGACAGGATGAATTAATCTTGTAACCATTTTGAAGTGTTCTGCCTTTCCAGATTTGACCAACTCTTCACTCAAGTTCGCAAGAGAATGAACTTGAAACTGATAATTTTGAAATTTGAACTATGTGAGGTTCATAAAATTGCAATTCACTCTTCAAAGCAAGTAGGGATGCACAATAATAATCCGAACCCGCATAACCCGCCCGACCCAACCCTACCTGACCCTCTATTTTATTGGGTATTTGATTTTAAAAAATATTCCAACCCGATAGTACCTGACTCGGCCGAAGTTCATTTTACTATTATTATGCTACAATATTTTCTTGGATAATTTCAATTTAAGACCAATGTGCTCTATCTAGGACTTTATGATATTAGAATCATAATTAAGCATTTACCATTTTGACTAGGTGATTATTATATATTTACGTTTCCTTCTAAATGAACTTCTTTTACGAAAGGATGTTGTAATACTATTACCTAATGTTTTTACTTATAAAAGATACGAGTACTTGTATTTGTGTGTGTGTTTTGGAAACAAGTTAATCGAGTTTTAAATTGGTTACGCTAATTTCCCACATGAAAAATGCAACCCGGAGTGATTTTTTTTTCCAATACCCGACTCTACTCGACCCGTTCATGCATGGTTTATCAACTTATTTTGTGTATCGTGGGTTGGTTAATATCCAACCTGAACAAATCAGGTAGACCCACAAAATATGCAAACTCAAGTGCATCAGAAACTATTTCCTTTTGAGTGGATGAGATATTAGGAGTTTCAATGAGACATTTAAATGTTGTCTACTTTGTGTGCTTGTACTAGGCTTATAAAACGAACGCAGTGTAATTTTTGCCTTTTGGAAGTAGATTGAGTAGTCATACCTACTAAAATTACCAAAACAAAAATAAAAAAACTAAGGAAAAATTGAAAATAATAATCCCAACTATTGCTGGTCCGCTGAAAATAATCCTAACTATTGATTATTTTTGTATAATCCCAACTATATAGACTGTCCGCCAATAATGGTCCATGACCATATATTACCTCTATAAAAAGTGAATTTTAAATAGAAATTAAGCGTAAAAATTAAAAGTTGAGATTATTTATAGGGATTACTTGTTATATCTCATCTCATCCACTTTAGAAACTACAAGAATTTATACATAGGAACCATTATTTGCGGAAGGTCCTTAAAGTTGGGATTATTCTGTAATAATCAATAGTTGAGATTATTATGAGCGGACCGCCAATAGTTGGGATTATTACTATCAATTTTTCCAAAAACTAATCAATATGTTATTTTAATTCATATAATTCATATTAATATTTCAAAAAAATCACAATTTACTATTTCACAATTCAAAGTACACAATTACACTAACACAAACTAATTTAACAAATAAAATACTTAATTAATCTAAAAATTGTAACAAAAAGGAAAGAAATTACGAAACCCTTACCTTCACTCAGCATCCGGCGCAGCCGCGCAGATGAGCAGAACCAGTGAACCAGTGAGCTTGAAGAGAGGAGAAACGCCAAATGCCCAAATTGGTTCTGTCACTTGTGTCGAGAATGGAGTACAAGAGAGAAGACAGCTCTGAAGCACTCTATAGATGAGCAGGGGCAGACCGGCAGACGGCGAGTCAGGGAGCAGATGGCGAGACCTCGGCCACGTCCGGCGATTCAGTGAGCTATGAGCAGGGGCTTTAGCGCGGTACCCACTTACCCGTCTCTGGCTGACTGGCTATGCTGTGCTTCTTTTCTTTACGTTAGAGCTGGACCGTTATTTTGCACTGGGCCAAATGTTTGTACACTAGCCCAATTTTATTTTTCCACAAGGCCAATTTCTAAAAAAATATTAAACTATATATAGTACTACCTTCGTCCCATTTTATGTGTCTTAGAGCATCTCCAATGCTATAACGTGCATAGTGCACACGTGGCATGAGAGATGACCACATAAATATTAGTGCATACATTCTTTCTCTCCTCATTTAAATGATTTTATATAGTTTTGGTAAGTTTTTCTCTTCAATGTCAAGGAGACCGTCTAAATGTTGACATTGTTGTTGACATTGCAGGGAAAAACTTACCAAAATTGTATAAAATCATTTAAATAAGGAGAGAGATAATTTATTTGCTAATATTTATGTGGCTATGTCTCATGCCACATGTGCACCGTGCACATTAGAGCATTGAAGATGCTCTTAGTTTGATTTAGCACGATTATTAATGAAGTGGTTATAAAAAGTAAAAATTGTGGTTAAGGTTTGAGTATAATAAAGTGAAATGATGTAGACCACATATTTCTTTACAAAAGGGGAAAGAAGACACTTATTTTGGGACAACCCAAAAAGGAAAGTAGGACATGTAAAATAGGACGGAGGGAGTAGTATAATACAGTAATACTAAAGAAGAAGAAATTGTCCTAGGCTATGGAACAGCCAGGTCACCCCATCCCTCCACCCCTAGCTCCAACGGAAATATGTATCAGAACTTTTAAAATAGGGAAATCATCCTTGACCTCGCTCGAGGTTTCACGTATTATCACTTCGACCCCTGCACTTTTAAAAATATATGTTTACCCCTTCCCTTTTCTTTAGTGAAAGTTTAATAACTCTTAATTATGTTTAGCAAAAGTATAAATTTAGTTTTATTTATAAATTTACTCACTTGCAGATTTAATCTGATAATCAATCAATTTACTTGTATTAAGAATCTTTCTGCAAGAAAGTACTTTTTTGCATGAACGTGTACTTTCCAATGAAATAGTCTTTATTGTTGACAAATTTATTAGGTTCATAACTACATCTACATGTGAGTAAAATTATAAGACTAATAGCGGACACAATCGAAAGGTACAAACTTGAAACAATAAATCTCTATTACTTTTAAAAGTTTGAAAAGATATTTGAGATTGTAGAAATCTTGGTGAAACATTTTTAACGAGGGAAAGATGCCCAATAACGAGGAATGTTATTTTATACCTACAACAGATGTTGGTGAAGGACTTTTAGGAGACTATTGTTACCTATTATAAATCCATATGGAAAATACCTACTTTTTTTATTCATATTAGGGGAGGACAAGGTCCGGTCTCGAGAATGGCCGATTTTTAAATTAAGAATTTAGGTCGGGACGGCCGGGCAGATACCAGGCCGGTGATAAAGAGGCCTCATGTCTCATTTTTGGGACCGGGATTGGAGCCCATGTTCTGACCTCATTCATATTTTTTCATTAGAACCATTGAGAACATATTAAAATGGGTTATAACTCATTTAAAAGTTGAAAAATAGGTAGTTAAAATATTTGAATTAACGGGAGCAAACCTAGACCAATTAGAATATTGCAACCGAAGATAAGATCATGGGCCGCCCTAATTATTTAGCACTAAGTAGTTTGGGTGTGGAACCCGTCCTAAACTATAATTTCTTTACCAGTATTTTACTTGTAAACATGTTCATACTTTGTCAAATATTAATTTACAAAGTTATTATTATACCCATACTGATTTCATTATATTTCCAGTGATAACAAAGAGTGTCTAGAGTGCAAATTGGGAATTTTCTTGTATTTAATTTTTAATGGTAAAATCGAGTAGTAAGCCTCACTTTTGAGTCGATTTGTTTCAATTTTTGATAAATTTAGCATATTTTGATCATTTTCAATTGAGTAAATTTACTCACTTTACGGATTCAAATACATAAAACGAACTACCTAAAGCGAGGTCGGTTTTGGTCATTTTTTTAATTTTGTTTAACTTCTGATAAGAAGGCCTGTAGTATGGACAAATTTATTAATTACCCGACCAGATTTGTGATTGAATAAAATTATAGTATTAAAAGCGGACATGATGAAAAATAATAAAATTATATCTATAATTTTCCATAAATATAGATTAAGAGTTATTTAACCGTCATCAAAGGATTATTTAAAAAAAAAACATCATTAAAAGATAGGGAGGGGGTAAGATTATATTTTTTATAGTACAGGGGTGTGATTGATAATGCATCAACCCTCAAGGGAGGTTAATGATAATTTCCCTAATAAAATATTGTTTTTTATCTTTATTATTCTAGAATTTTAAGTACTTTCACTTTTTATTTCAAAACTGTAGTTATTTGACTTATTTCTCATTTTAAATTAATGACGTATTGACTACGTTTATATTTCGAGGTGCACTAGTGAAAATGAGATAAAATATGAATTTAAATCTAAGTATTTTGAAAATGTAAAATGCTTCAATGCCATGAATGAGTAGACGTCGGAGATAATATATGTGTACTTTTTCCAAAAAAATTATCTGTTTCTAAAATCTTATAAGCATCAATAGAGGTAAGGTCATAACGGGTATGTAAAAAATGTTGGTGTAACTTTATACCTTATATGGTAGTATTATATGGTGAAAAAGTAGTACACCTTTATTGCATCTCCCATCTTAGCCCTCTCATTCGTTAAGTTTTATTCACACCGTTACATTGGCCATTGATTTACTTTGATTATTAGGGAAATATAATCTCTTACACAACCATTAATAAAAACCATCCGTTTTCCTCTCAAATGAATGAGAGGAAGCTAGCTAGACTGAGGTGTGTTTAGTAAAAAAAATATTCAACTTTTAAGTTTTAACATTGCTTGTAAATGTGATATTCCACTCTTACATGTAATTGCGCTCTTGATTAATTTTTACATTGCCTTCATTTAAAACTATTGGATCTCAAACACATCGGCACGATTCATCTTTTCACGGCATTATACTCGTGTCAAATATGTGTCTAGATGTTTTTCCATGATGGCACTTTGTTGTTCTCAGGTTTACCATGTCCTATGTAGGTTGTGTTAGGGCTGCAAAAGGGTTTATGTAAAATGTCAGATATTTATAGAATTGATACTCTGTATAATACTAGAACAAAATATATTACAACAATTAACCTATAGGCCAAATCACCAAATTGGTAAAAGAAAAGAGGGTCATTGGACATATTGGTAAAAAAAACTTGAGACTTATTGGGAAAAAAAAAACTGGTGATAAATTGCACAATTTTTTGTGAGTGATAAACTTTCGATCCTCGACTTTAGAATTTCCGACATTTCATGTTCTAAGTATTGTGAAGTTGACATTTCCAATCCTTTCTTTGATTGTGTCATCAAAAGTGGAGGTCTAAAAATGTCAATGACCCTGTTTGATAATATTAGTTGTCTGCTACCTCATAACCGGTTGAATCAACAGATTGATATTAACGGATTCGTTAGCTTTTTTAACTAACCGCTTTCATTAGCGGTTAGTAACTTAAAATTTGCAATTAGTTTTTCAAACGTAAAATAGCCATTAAAAATGAATATAAAAGTTTATATATTCAATTAATTTTATTTCATTTTATTTTTAAAAGTTATGTTTATGTTTATTTTAAATAATTACTAAAAGTATAATTTTTAAGATATGTACATTAATGCGAACACACACATATAAATTCATATATTTTTAGTAATAATATTTTTAATATGACTATTTATTGGTTTTTTTAAGTCTACTCCATTTAAAAAATCTACTCCAGAGTTCTACTCCATGTGACTATTTATTAGTTTTTTTTTAACTTACTCCATGGTTATTTAAAATAAATGTAAATATAATTTTTAAAACCTTTTCAAAGACTTATTAAAAATAAAATAAATAAAGTTAAGATAAAATATACGTGTATACTTTTAAATTCATATCTTTAATTGTCATTTTGCGTCTTAACATTTAATCGCCAACAATAAAGTTACTAACATTTAATTTCATACGCTAATGAAAGCAATTAGTTTCATTACCAATCTGTCCAATGACCCTTTTTTACCAATTTGGTAATTTGGCCGAGAACCTATAATATACGAGACCTTTTATAAAGATCAACTCGGGTCCAAATTTAGTGAGTGTTTGTAAAAAAAATAAAAATGGTGTTTTTAGCTTCCGGCTTAAAAAGTTGAAATGAGTGTTTTCAAGCGATAGTTTCTATAACTTTTTAAAGTAAAAGCAATCGCAAACACTTCCTTAATTACATTTGTATCATTTATTACATTATTACTTCAAAACAAACAAATTACACAATAAAAATTACGATATTGTATATAGATTTTTTAGATAACTCTACTCATGTCAAAATATATCATGGATTGGCTCTATGTAAATTTCAGTATAATTCATTGTATGCTCTAATATCTTTCATTCCATTTCAAATTTAAGTAATTTAAGGTGCCCCCAAAAATGAATTCTTACGGATTTTAATGGAATTTCATTCATGTATTCTTTTATTCCAGCCCAACAGGTTGTGAGGTTACCGTGCTAAGTGGCAGGTCTCGAGTTCGAAACCCGCTAGGCACATAGGGGTTTGAAACTCAATGGAGTGAGTTTTAGCCTTGATTACTCCAACCCCCGACCCCCTTGGAGTAAAAAGAAAAAAGAAAAAAGAAAACTTAAGTTATTCATCAACCTTAAGTTATACCATTTGACAACTACCCTTCATCGTACCAATTATATGACCGATTGACTGACACTTAACTTAGTTAATGTAGTTCAAATATATTGTTGTAATTAATAAAGCACAATGCTTTTAAAACATATGTACTTATTTGCCTAATCGTTTTTATTTTAAAAGTATCATACATATATTCATTTTCAAATGCTCTAAAGTGCATGTGTACATAATACGTATTTCACTATTTACACTACATAATACATATACCTTCATAGGTAGTATAACATTGGGCATCAACTATATCGCGCAACGCGCGTTAA